CGAAGGCGTGACATAGTAATTTCTTCTATAGCTGACATACATCATAGTAAAACCTTGAATATTTTTCGTTTTGTCCTCATCTTCTTACCATTCCTAACTACCATTTTCTTTTTTCTATCTGAACAAGTTTTGTCGTGAATAACATTATTCTCTTAAGTATTTTGAAATAAATAAATGCACTTAAAAAGTCAAATAACGAAATTAAAAAAAGTTCTCTCTCTCTCTAAAAATTCACGATGATGAATTATTATAAACATAAAATGTACAAATCGTTTTAACGATAATCAGATACAGAAAGTTTTTAAATGCTTGTTAGAGATTCAACAGAAAATAGAGACTAACTGGAACTAGCATAAAAACATAATTCTATTTTCATAAATAAAAACTCCTATAGATATTATCATTGTTTTTCACTGATAGATTATTTATAGAAGAAAAAAACAATGATATCTTTACATACATATCAACAAATATTTCTAATTACATTATCATGTTTCGGTGACAGACAATAGATATTTCGATGACATTATTAGTTGTCTAAATGAATCTTTTCATAGTTTGAGAAATGAGCATTTTTGTTACTAATCGAAAAGTTGTAAAATCCTTCTATTTGCGAAGAAACAAACTTAATTTTTGTCACTTATTTTTCATTGATGATTCTAATAGATTAGGAAATATTTTGGTTGCATCAAGAGAAAGATCTATCATAACCTATAATTACGTCTCCTGTCTGATTTTCGATAATATATCAACTAACAAATTAATCCTTCCTTATGAAATCTCAATACGCGAATGACTGCGAATAATCAATAAAATAGATAAATAATAGTACCATCATTATGTGAGTCTAATACACAAATACTGTTATAAATATAAAGTTAAATTTTGATTATTTTTAATTATATAACAAGAGCATTTAACTTCATACGATTTGTACAAATCCGTACTCCATTTTTTTGAACAGAGAACAAATCTTTTCATATTAAAGTCAACCATACTTATTTTAATAAAATAATATCTTTCAAAATGTCTCATAATAATGAATAGACTCGAATTAATTCTACTTATCTTCTTTATCTAAATATTCATTCATTGCTTATTATTTGAATGATTAATATATGTTTTTCTCAATCTTTTCAATATAATCATTCGATTAGAATTAATTTGTTTAATAGAAAAAACGAAGAAATTATTGTTAATATTAAATGAAAATCCATTAATAATTGACTATTTTCAAGAACGAAACATATGAAAATTATTTTCCGATGATCGATATAATATTAAATGATTTTTAAAATAATAAATTTATTTAAATTTTTAATAATGATTTTTTCTCTACATTAGTTATATAAATAGCATTAAAAGTCTAAAAACAATTATTTATCAAAATAAAAATAATAAATAAATAACTTAAACAAAAGACAAAATAAAGTATGTCCTCTCAATATTAACATATCAAGAAAATTTCATTATAACATAATATTTTTATTATTATAGAATAATTTATAAATAGAAAAAAAGAATCATTTTTTTTTTGCAGAAATACGAATGGAAAATTAACATTCAATGTACTTTCAAATAAATCAAGAATTTTTATTGTTATCAACTTAAAATCTTCATAGTGATTCAAAACATTTTCTTATAATGAATATCTTTTATTTTCTATTTCTAATTTGATTTATCTAAAAACTGAAGGAATTTATCATAAACAATATAAATCCAAAAACAAAAGATCAAATTATAAAAGTATTGCGTCACAATACTATGAAGAGAGAGAGAGAGAGCCGATGAATAATAGATATCTTAATTTGCACTTATATCTTCACTAGTAGAGCCCATTAGATCTAAAATGTTCAGACACGAATCCAACGAGCTCTATTCACAGTAGATTGTGTATTGAAAAGAAAGAATGAAAATCTCTATCAAACATATTTAACAACTTTTGGTCAATAGAAACAACTGATACAGTGTGAAAGAAATTTGAGATAGTGTGAAGCTCTACAATGCGTAAAAAAACAAAAGACGGACACCATTCATAAGTCTAAATAAAAAAAGTGGAATCATTAAATTTAGATTCGGGTTTGAATATAATAAAATAGAGAATTTATTCTAATTGTCTTTACTTAATATTAAAAGCAAAGAGCAATAATTTATTTAAATTTTTTCAACTAACAAATAGTTGCTGAATAAGTTGGATGGAATGTAGTACCACCAACTTTATAACAAAGTGGTCGTGGACCACTTAGTTCTTGTGAAAAAACATCATCCCATTTACCAATAAAACGTTGATTTTCACAACGAATTTTCATCCATGTAATATCCTCAGGAAGTTCCATATCAAATTTTTGACCAGCATAAATATTTCCACTAGCTAATGTGAATGCACTTGAACTATCTTTTATATCAATAAAACATCGAGCAACATATGCACCACTTGATGATACAGAAATTTTACTTGCATAGGATCCAATCACTATAATAATATTTTCTTTTTTTAGTATTAAGATCTAAATTTACATAATCGTTTACTTACCAAGAAGAGCGATGATAGCAATTATTTTGAACATTGTTTTGGTTTAGTTTCTTTTAGTATCCTCTTCGCTCGATCAATTGATTTTTTTCAGTAA